TCTCTTTAAGGGAGGGATTATCCCATGCTTAGGTGATCGATCCCCTATGTGGGGGGATCGATCCCTTTTGTGATTTTTTAACTAAGTTTACATTCTGTATAAAAAGGAGATCGATCCCTTTAATGGAGGGATCGATCGAGTAAGTATAAACCCTAACCAATCGATCCCTCCAAGGAGGGGATCGATTGGTTCTTGCTAAAATTTCACAAGTTCAGCTTCTAGAAGAAAAATGGATCGATCCCTTTGGCCAGGGGATCGATCCCTTTGGGTAAGGGAAAGGATCGATCCTTTCTATCCAAAACATGCCTTCATCCATTTTGTTTTGAGAATTTGCTTTATTTTAGTTCCTAAATGAACTTTGCAAGATAGAAGGCTAAAAAAATGTTTAATTTAAGATTAGTAGAGTTTGATTCAAGTTAGGCAAATTTTTGTTTTGTCAAATCAAAACTTTTAATCAATTCAAGGCCAACAAGATAGAATCTCATAAAAGTTAAAAACATAATTGAAAAGCAAATCTTTGCATATGGTATATGGAATCTATCAAACATAAAAAAAGAAAACATAAATTATTAACAAAACATTTATGGATGAATGAGCTAAAACCAAAATGAATAACACATTTGATATATCAACATAGTTTCAATCCAAATCTAAATGACATCTAAAAATATTAAGAAAAAAAAAGATTGGAATGCAATAAATAATGCAAAACAGATAATTAAGTATCAAATAGTATGCACAACATTTATTAAAAAAATACGGATAAACTTAATAGAATGAAGATTAGATGACAAATGTTGAAGCTGAAGTTGGTTCAAACAGAAAAGTATTTGCTTTAAGCTTTAATATGTTGAAATAAAAATCAAAAGAGTGCATTTGGTTATTGAAACACGATTAAGACATCAATTAAGGCTTTTCATACATAGAAACATCTTATTTGATGTATTAAATATAGGTTCTTCTAAATTTAATTAGACATTACAATGTTCATGATGCAAAAAGATGGTCTTCGAGAGGAAAAACAAAATTTTAATATGTGGCAATTATAGCATTTCAAGGAAGAAACACCTTAATTGATAATCAATTAAGGCATTTCTCTAATAAAACACCCTAATAGCCACTTGAATCTTTATCAAACTATGATTGATAATCAATCATGTCAGAACACGATCTTTGATAGAGAAAACAAAATGTTCATATGTGGCAATTACGGCATTTCAAATAAGAAACACTTTAATTGATCGCCCTAATAGCCAATTGAATTTTTACCAAACTTTGATTGAACATAAATAAGGTGTATGTACAATTTGACCACCATAATTGATAAGCAATTAAGGCATTTTTGCAACAAAATGCCCTAATAGCCACCCACATATATGTGACAAATTTTTTATTTAGGTCAAATTGAATTTAAAAAAAGAAGTTAAAACTGAGTTTCAGACTTGCTTTTCAAAAGGGTAACATATATATGACAAATTTTTTATTTAGCTCAAATTTGAAAGGCAACTTTTCCCTCAAATCCTAAAATAACACAAGGATATATGGGTTTCTGATTCCAGGATTTTGGATACTGTTAGAAATATGATATTTTTCCTTGTAATTGGATTACCCTAAACCAAACATAGAAGGAAAATTTTGTGGATTCCCTCTAACCAAACACATTTTAAGGGTATTTTTGTCATTTCACACCTTTCAATATGTGATATGGGTTTTTAATGCATAAAAAATCCTAAAAAAAAAATCAATTATAATCTAAAAGTTTTCATGAAAATCTAACTTCAAAGAGATCAAATTACTAAAATATTCCTAAAAGTATTTCGGTAATTTTACATTTCCTAAAGTGTAATTAGACTTTGTAATGTTTTAAAACCACAAATTTCAATCTTAATCCATATTGATTTCAATTTTATTGTGAGTTTTAAAAATTTACCCAAGTTTCATCCATTTTGATCATTGTTGATCGATTTTGACTAAATTTGATCAAGTTTGACCAAATATAACCTTGGAGCATTTTGGTGTAATTGGTTCAAATTTTAATTTTAAAATTTTATCAAAATTAAAAAGATATTGAATTTGAATCGAATTGAATTTTAAGTATTTTACAAATGGTCAGAATTTTACCTAAATAAAATTAAGTGTTTACACTCCTACTAGAGAATAAAGATTTTAATTAATCTTACAATTGGAAAAAAAAAAACTCACAATTAGGGTTCCTAACATTACTGGGGATGCTTTTGGCACACAAATTTGATGTGATTTTGTGGTTTTCAACTGGACTGCTCCTTTATTTTTTCATTGGCCAATGCCTTTCCATTTTGATGGCTGCTTATCGCCAATAAGGTGTGATTGTGGTTCCTAATTGTACTAGAGATCCGTTTGACACACCTTTATTTTTTTCATTGGCCGATGCCCTTTCCAGTATAAATTCAACACTCCACCGCACCTTTATTTTCCTATTTTACACTAATTATTTTTTTCTCTTCCTTTTATATTTTTGAAATTATAATGTATGGAAGAGTATGTTCTCTACACTTACAGACTTCGATTTGATAATTTTTATTTATTTAGTTTTGCTTTTTGTTATTTTATTTCCATTCCCTAGTTTAAAGTTTTTAAAATTAATTTGTTATAATTATTTGAAAAATCATCTATATTATTTAATAAATTAATTAATAAATAAATGGATAAAGTAACAAGTACTTAAATAAATAAATAATCAATTTTATCATAAAAAATTACTAGTGATTGAAAAATAAAATAGATAATTATCTAAATAATAAAGTAAATAAATATTAGTTATTTTAAGATGTGTAAATGCATTATTATTTTCTTAAAAAATTATTATTTTGAAATATAAAGAAAACTATAAATAATAATAAAATATATAATCAACTTATATATTAAATAAAATAATTACATAACAAACAAAAAATAGATATAATTATATAAAAATAATTTTATTAAATTTTGATTATTTTTTAACTTTATAAATACAAAATATATTATAAAATTCATAATATACCAATTTTAATCTATTGCCCTTAATGATTATTTTTTTCACTAAACTTCATCTCATCGCCGTCGTTACATTTTCATCTAAGCATATATTTCATCATTGATTTTAATCTTATTACCACAATATCTAATCTAATCACCACTACAATATCTAATCCCATCGTTACAATAACTAATCTTATCGCTTCTATTATTTTTAATCTCATTAAAATCAATCTCACCATTTATCTAAATAGATTCTAAAGCTTGACTTGGATCACTAGTTAGCACCGATAAAATACGATTATCATTCAAAATCTCATTGTTTGTCCGATTAGAAATTTTTACATTAGATTGGAGTAAAAATTTTAACTAGACCCTTAAGGTCTAATGGAAAATCTCTTCTCCTCTCCATAGTTTTTTTCCAAATTTACCTCCTTATTCTTCTTTTCTTTTTCATTTTGTTACTTTTTAATTATTTAATTATTTAAATAATAAATAAATTTAGATGTCTTATTTTTTTTATTTGTTAATTTACTTTTCATTTTTATTTAAAGGTTTTCAAATTTTTTATTCTAGTTAGCCTTTCATTAATTTTTATTGTCATTTTGTTACTTTACTTTTCAAATTTTTTTAATTTAGTCATTTATTATAAAATAAATTTATACAATTATTTATTAAATAAATAAGTAATTATCTAACTATTTTGATTCTATATTACTTAGTTTTATATTTTCCATTCTTTTAGGTTTTTGTTTCATTTTATTTTTTTCTTTAAAAATTCCAAATGAGTTTTAGTAATTTTTAATTTTTTAATAAAAAATTATTTGATAAAAATAATTTTAGTGATTTTTAGTTATTTATTAATTTCACAAATATAAGATATATACACATTTTAATACAATATCTTTAATGGTCACTTTCTCATTTCATTATATTTCCCCTTATTAACACTATTATTTTTGCATCCAAATACATATCTCATTATTGATAGTAATCTTACTCTTATAATATTGAATCTCACTATTATAATAACTAATCTCACCACACCATTATTTTCAATTTCACTAAAACTAATCTCATCACTCATCTAAATGGACCTTAAATTTTATTTGAGCATTTATCCACCTTGGTGGACATCACTTTTGTGTATTGTTCCCCTTCGCAATATATTGTTCAATTGGAAAAAAATTTTCATTTAATGAATGAGTTACGTAATAATATGTATTATTTTATATTTTAATTATTAGATTAAAATATTTTTATTTATTTTTTACCAAACGAAATTAAGATTTGGTTTTTGGTGGCACCCTCTTATCAAATTAATCTTAAAAAAAAAAAATTTGTGATTTGTTTTAGGGTTAAATATAAAATTAACCTTATTCTTTATACTTTTTGTCACACTTTAAGAATAGAGTCTTTTTTAAGGGATACAACTCTCACTAAAAGTCCATATAACCCTCACTTATTTTTTTAACAAGAGTCATATGTCTCTCACTCATTTTTTTAATAAGTCAATGTCATTTACAAACTCTTGCTGTAAATTTCCTCATTAATTATATATGATGAGAGATAAAATAAAATCCTCATTATATCTATCATTTAGTAAAGATTAAAAGACCTCATTCAATGTAAATAATTAGTAAAAGTTAATTTCAGTCATCACTAAATGTAAAACTTATAACAAAGATCAATTTTAACTTTCACTATATATTTTACATTTAATGAAAGCTTTTATTAATCTTCACTTAAAGTTTTTACTTTTAATGAAGATTTTATTAACCTTCATTTAAAATTACTTTTATTGAGAATCGTAACCTTCATTGTAGCACTTTAGTAAAAAAATTTAAAACCCTTACAAAAAATACTTAATTTATGTCTTTTTATTTAATTTGTTAATGGAATATGTTTGTAATTCTTACTCCAAGCAAAACATAAACAAATAATATTTGTCCAGAAAATTATTGCAAAAAACAAAAAAAAAAACATCTACATATACAAAACAATATACAAATATCTCTCCAACATATCAATTCTTTTTAAGCACTCTATAGTTTTTTATCTAAAAATCTTAGACAGGTTAACAAGACAACCAAGCAACACACAGTCAAAATCAATAGGATTCCTTCCTCAAGCTATCACCAGTAAAGAATCTCTTTGTAGGTTGAAATTCTTAAGGCCAAAAAAGAAACTCCACTTGATGAAGCCATTGCTAGGCATTAAGCAGCATTCCAGTAAGGTTCACCTGCTTGTAGTGCTTCCTTGTTTGAAATCCTATACTTGCAAATAAATCGGTCACAAAAGCTTACGGGGCAAAATCCAAGCGTCTTTAACAATACACTCCTAATGGAAAAGCACCAGAACACGGGTCCGAAAAAAGGACCTAAAATATTAAACATCCAGGACAGCCAAGCTTCGAAACTTCCAAAGAGCAACCAATAAAACAAAAAGAAACCATAACCATACCCGAAGAAAGAGACTAGTCAGTTTAGGACACCCAAGCATCAAAGAGAAGGAAAGCTTCTGTTAATAACATATCATCCCAAAAAACGAATGAAAATTTAATCTCAAATTATCAAAATACTTGCATTATCAATCTGTTGGTCTTGTTGAGCTTTAATAGCAGCCTTGACTTGATGCTTGTCCACATTTGCCTGCACAGCCAAACACAGTCAGCAAAATAAATCCACTTTGATATTCTGACTTATTCAAACTCCTTTCAAGTTGCAAAAATTTTGCCATCTAAGCCCCTCATACGAATTCAGTTTCTTAACACGAGATAGCCAAAAGCATGCTCTAACCAAGTGTCAAAGAAGCAAGAAAGTGAAAAAAAGGAACATGTGAGAAAGAAATGTAGACACCCCTCAAAGACAGCTAAAACCACGTCCAGCACCAATTGTCAATCGACGAAGGTCAACAAGAGAGTTGTAATGATTCCCATGATGGTAGCTCAGCCTTATGGGAAGTGGGTCAATATTATAGCTTCCATGAAATATGTTGATAGGTTCTGCATCAAATAAATTTTCATCAGATGGATTGTAAGAAGAAGGTAAAAGACATACCTATATAAATTAATATCAAAACCATTAATCAATCAAGCATCACCTATGCTGTAGGAATAGACATGAATAGGCCTCTTATACATTTCTAATAAGGCTTGAATCTCCACATTGTTCCCATAGACCTGTACCCAAGATAAAAGAAACAGATGTTTCAAACCATTTTACTAGGCAATGTACCTATCAGGTAAAAAGAAAACAGAATTGACAATGAAATGGATTTAATAAACAAAATGGTGGTGGGAGAATCAAGAAATTAATTAGGTAGAGCAGAATGCATCATCTAGATGGTTAAGTGACAATTAATATTTTTTAATTGATTAAATAGAGTTCTTGTAATCTTGGCTATGGAATAAAAAAGGTTTAAAAGTAAAAGGAAAATAGAATATTTTGATCATTTTTATCAACTAAAGAAAAGATGAGCTACAATCCCTCGCATGAAATTGAAGAGCAAATGATAAGCTCGGTAAAGAAATATGATGCTAAAGCAAGTTTCATGCAAGAAGAACATTAAGATAGTATAATCAATTACAACGCCACTGCATGCCTTATCTCTTCTTTTCCTGTCGTAGTAAGATGTAAAACCTTCTGTTATAAACTGAGAAATGTGATCCCTCTCCCGCTCCTGGATGAAAAGTTAAAGATAAGCATCCATCGCAATAATATTCCAAATCAATGTCATTCAAGCACCTCAACATTAATGTGATTGAAGACCCAGAAAATAATGCACATAAAATGATAACCAAGAAATCTAGGTATATCATCTATACTTTAAAATAAATTAAAAATGTTACAGTGATCCAAAACCATTCTATACCTTTAAAAAGCAACCAAAAAACCAAAGCATATATATGTTTAATCACATCCAAATATTCAATCTAGCTTAAATTTATAACAGACAACAAATACCACACAACATGCGAACCCAACAAAGACCATCCCTTGTGGTACAATTATCCGTATTCCTAGTTATATTTGACGCCTCAACATGAAGTTACTGAAGTGGACAATCACACACTTCTGCAACAGGCAGGTAACTAATTATATGTGCTTGAGGAACACTTCTTCATGCTACAGAAGCTTCAGCTAACAAGCTTAATAGGGACCCGAAAAGCACTAACTAGAACTTGGAAGAAAATCTCGTCTCAAGTGCAGACACAAAGGCAAGGCAACAGCATGTGACCACTCTGCATTCTATATTAATTAATGGCTTCCTTAACCTATTTCATTTTAAAGAAATTAGTATTGGAGGAAACAAAATAAAGTATTGAAACACATGCCCAGAAGGTTTCTTTGAAGAGAAACAGCAAACTTACAAGATCACCAAAAGTAGAAATCCGCCTCCTTAGATTGTTATTTTCTAACATCAACATCATTGAAAAAAAATTGTAGTTGATAGTTGGGCCATTGTCATATTCTTAACATTCTGCTGGATACATATCCTAAGGTCCAGGCTTTTCTTACCTCCTTAAGCAGGGGACATGGCAGTAAAGAAAACTGCACTGATGGAAGCAAGTCATTAACTGGTTGAAGCGTACCCTTGAACAGACTTTCTGAAGTTGAGTTTATCATTAGCTCACTCACACCCCCACCCACACAAATTTTCGGCTTTCATGCACCACATCAAAATTGCATCTAGAACCCTTTCTTCAGATGTTACCTTTAGATCTGGATGCTGCAAGAAGTCCATAATTTATGAAAAGAAATAAGGTAACTCATCATGCGGTATACTTCATATGCAACTCTAAATATACGTTATAACTTGCAAAAATCAACCAAAAGATGGGTCTAATTTATAATTGCCCCAAATCTAACAATTTAATAAGCATAAGCAACCCTTGACAGAGCAAAACACATGAGTTCATCTTTTCAAAGAGTTTCTTTTTGTGGTCTAAATATTAATCTTTGCCCCAATGAGAGGGATTTGATTTGAACTTGTCATTTCAAAATCATTTATGATCGGAGGGCGGGGTGCTGGAAAATTCAGCTAAGCTAAGCAAATGCTAGATTCTTGCCTACATTGAAACGTGAGTGCTACCAGCCCAACAGAGTTTCCGTACCACTCCAATAAGGCCTGTAGCCCTGTACAGTAAAGCGGGCACGAAATTTTTGGACTAAAGAGACAGAGATCATTTAGGTTAAAGCATCTTAACCACCAAAAACAGAATATATATATATATATATATATTTTTCTCATCATCCTCTTTGGCGTGTAATATTTGTAACAAACCCACCCGATGCTTAAAAGGAAATCAATGAGTCATTCACAGGGCCTGAATGTTTGGATTTCAATTATTACAACAATATTTTCCGTAAGTTTGAATAGTAGTTCCTTAGTCAAGGCCTTCAAAAACTGTAGAGGAGTGGGGGTCAGAGTTCACATCTCGGTGCTTTTACCTGCTCTATCAGCTTCGCTTTGTCTGAATACCCGATTCAAAGATGGCATTGGACTTGGACTTAGTCTTCAGTCAAGGGGGCTGAGCTGAGAATTATTTTGATAAGTTTGAAAAGCAGCTGATTAATTTTTCTGTGAACTTCTAAAGCCCAAATGATAACAGTATCTCACTCATGAATGTTTAACGGCCTATTAAGAATCTTCCTCCAATATGGGGCTTGATTGACATCAGAGTGATCAAAGTCAGTCAAAAGGAAAAGATAATGAAGCCTCTCTGCTGTTATAACAATGTCTCGTTGCGTCTCACCAAACAAAAGGAAAATGAATTCAACAGGCAGATAAAACGTGTCGTTTATATAGGTTGCCACGAGCTCACAACATTCATGGAATAGATAGCTCAGCTAAATATAGTAGCAGAAAAGAAAAAGGTACGAATAATTACCGACGAAACGAAATTTTAGGACTTAGGCTTTGCGATCTTTTAGATACAAGTTCACCTGGCCTCTTTACAGTGGAAAAAATTGCTGATTTGCTGTTGCATTCCTCTGAATTCTGAAAAAAGTCAAGCATAAATAAATCTAATCTTGCCATTCAAAAAGTCAGCTAGCGGATCTTTGTCCAACCCCTAACGTGATTCGCTCGTGCATCCCCCTTTCATGTAAAATCTACCAGTTCAATGCCTAGCTGGCTTCCGACCAGCAGGTCGAGGTTGCTTCATTTAAAAAATCTATTCGCACAATTATATATTGGCTGTTCTGGACATTCACAAATTGTTGGTCACTTACCATGTACTGTTTCTCTAGCTTGGTAGAAAGATTAGTTTAATTTGTACTCTTATGAGAACCATGATTTGGTGATAACTGAATTTTCAAAGTGTTTAAAATTTTGTTCATGACAGCGAAAGCTTACGCTTGTCAAATAATAAGGAATGCGAAAGTTGAGGTCAGGTAGAAATTTTATGGTAATTTATCTAAATATATATAAGTTACAATTAATTGTAAAATTTTAACTAAAATCCCGAACTTTTTTTCAAACAAAAAATAGGCAAAATGCTTCAATTTGTCACCTAATATGTATATCAGATCAATTTCAATCAATTTTGACAGGAAAATTTGATGCTCCCTGATGTCTTAGATCTCTCCACCAAAATCCTGTATTGCCAACTCCACATTGTAGATATTCCAAATTTTACAGATAAGAAAGACCAAACTTTTCCAAATCTACTACGTCTTTCCATTCCTCATACAATTTTTTTTTCCTTCAACCAATAGTTCAGTGAGAGCAAATTGTCTTTTAATAAATTATCTGATTATGTCCAAATGCGTTTCACCTTCGCCAGCCGTGGTTAAAAGTTAAAATCAGTCCCTGATTAATACAAGCAAGAGAGAAAAAGCAGCAACTGCGGGGCCTGTTTTTATAATCCTAGTTTTGTAGAAAAGATGCACTAATGAAGCTTCCCGTATGTCTTCCTGAAAGGAAACCCACTTTTTGACAAGGAAATTTCTCCCAACACATGATTAAGAAAAGGGCAACCAAAATATTATAGTCCACAAAGGCATATAATTTCGGTATACCATGTAATTTTAAATATGAACAGTAAAATAACATAAAAATGATATTAAAAATATTAAAAATATATAATTTAAAATTTTAGTAAAAATTATATATAAATATGATAAAAATAAAAAATATATATTTCATATTTAATATATTATCATAAATTTGATATGATAATTTTTATATTTTATATATATTTATATAAAATAAATACGGTAATTATTGCGCTTAATTTAGAGCAAATGTTTGATTGGTGGACCAATCAAGAGGGTTCGGTCCAATTTCCCAAAAGGTTAGTGGTTTGGCTAGTTGGACCACCAAGCTCACGTTAGCCTATCGCTAATTTGCTACTTTGCCAGCCATTTGTTTTAATGATTGTGGGTACCAACGGTGTTCAGTGAAGATATCCCTGGATGGATCGACCTGATTTTCTAAATCATAAATGTAATAACGCCAAACACTAGCCTCTGTGTCTTCCATAATGCAAATATATTATTGGAAGCCTGGTCGAGGATAAGATCTTCCACAGGGAGGCTCAAAGCCTCAGTCTACGCCAGGCCAATTCGATTCCTAAGGCATAACATTCCCATTGATGCTGCTATTTGGCAGTTATGTGAGGTGATGAGACAGACACTGCTTAAGAGTCAACGTTTTAGGATTAGGGGATTAGCTCATTACGGCAACTTGACATGTTTTAGCTGACAATCATTCATCCAAAATATGTATATATAGGCAAATTTCACTTACTTCTCCACCTCCTCTAATATATCCGTTTCTCACATTTATCTCTTGTAATTTTTTTTTTTTTTTACTTATGGTTGAATATCGTTGTCAAAAGGGCTCACAATATTAAATAATTAATGAAAAGACATTAACACCCTTACAATTACCCAAATTTTCAAATTTCATCCTTATTTTAAAAGACTTAAAATCCTTTGATTCTTCTAAAAAATTTTACTTTTCATAACGAGATTCTTATGTTTGGTTCTTGTAATGTGATTCTCTGAAGTTTTTTAAAATTTCCAATAATATCAAGAAGAGAGATAGCCCAGAATCATAAACATTTCTCTCTCTGAAATTTTTTAATATTTCTAATAGAATGTAAAATTTATCTCACTTTTGTACTAGATAAATTATTTTTATGGTCTTTTTTACCCTTTAATATCAAAAAATTGTATGATAAACTAAGACCTAGATTGACACGCATAAAGTGAAAGGAATGAAGCAATCAATAATCAAAGTTAAAATAGTAAAATTTTAAAATTTTTAATTCCTTAAAGTCAAGATCAATTAACAAGATCATACAAACATAATATATACAAACTATATGAGTTTCGACTATGGTGTGTACCTTGTGTGATGAAACTCTTTTGGTTTAAAGAAGTGATTTTCCAAATAGTTTCTCAAGCCAAAAAACTAGCCAAATGTGTAGCCTCTAACAATGAGCTACATGAACTCTTGCTAAAAAACCTTGTTTAAGGTAGGGAAGAACACAAACCACACTCTAGCTAGTGAGTGCTTACAAAACCTCTTGTTTTCTTTTAAGTTTTTGCTTAAACTTTCCCTTAGCTTATTTTTGCATCAAGTATGCTTTTTTTTTTTTTTCTTACAAGAGAAGCAGCATCTAGTGTTCTTATTTATAAAATGACATTCGTCCATATTAGTTTAATGCAAGACGTGTATATTTTCATAAATATCCCTTGTTTGGCCGAATACTCTAAACAAGAAAAATCATTCTCTCTTGTTTTAATTCCTTTATTTTTTGGTCATATTAAAAATAAATTAAGTCTAATTTAATTTGCTTCAATTTTAATCTTTCACAATTATCTTATTTTGTGTGACATATTAGGTTCTTGAACATGTTGGCAATAAACATAAGTATTGGAAACTTTAGTATTCCACTATGGAAGAAACAAATCTTTTGACTTCATCACTAATTTTTTAATTATCCAATCTTATATTTATAAACCATGATCAGTACTAGTTTCATTGCCATAACTCCCAATTGCTAAAGAAAAATCAATATGGCTTGACAATCTATTCAAAATGATCTTAGTGTATAATTAATATATTTTCATCACATAGTATCTTGGTTTGAATATTTAGTGCGGCTTAGTGTCTACTCAATCATGTTTAATCATGTTAAGCCTTGTCATTGACATTAACTCATAAATAAACTTTCGAACAATTCTAAACTCTTATTTCATTTTGGTCAAAGATTATTCAAGTTAATTCAATCAAAATTAGTTAAGATATTCTCTTGATCACATAAAATGATGAATCTCATCATGATTACTTTATGCAGCTTTATATGCCTAATATTATACCTAACAATACTCGATTAAAGCATTCTTGGTTAAAACCATAAGTAAAGTCAACGTATAACATTCACCATATAAGATCATAAATAATCTCAAGTCAAATGATCATTTATACAACCATCACATGAGAATAAAACTATAGATAGTATGTGAACTACCATATAGCATTCTCATATCATATCATATTAAGTGAACTTGTTCTTGTAAAGCTTCCCAATGTTAACTCAAATTTATCCAAACTTCAACCTATGAGATTTGTTGCTTACTTCATAAGTAAGAGTAAAACACTATATTAGTCTCAACAACTTTTGTTAATGTCTTCTTATTGATAAAGCATCGATTAGAAACTATTTTGAAACATATAGCTTTTAGGTAATGATGATTTCATAATTACATTATCACTGTAATTCTCTTGCAAAACTTTATTTATATTTCAATGACTTTAGCATGTA